TCCTCACCTGGCAGTCCTCCATCTCGGAGTGCAGGGAGTAGCGGCTGTCATGCAGAGTCTGGCTGTCCCTCATCTTCAGCTCGTCCTGTAGCTCTTGGACTTGGTTCTGAAGGGACCGCTGGCTGCCCCTCAGGTGCTGGACCTCCGCCTGGACCTCCTGCAACTGAAACACACCGCAGGGCTCATGTCAGCCAATCAGAGACCACGATGGTTGGGTGACACCGGTAATGTTGTATACGGTATATAAGGTGTGTGTGTGTCCCTCCCCCCACGGTGACAGGTCCTCACCTGCGCCTCTCCCTCCCTCCTCTGCCTCTCCATCCGCAGTGCTGTCTCCCTCAGGGTGAAGAGGAGGTTCTGCGCGTTCTCCTCCTTCTCTCGCAGCTGCTTCATTCCGCTCTCCAGGTCCCTCTTCTGCTCCAGGAGGAGCGCGTTCTACAGCCAGAGGGATATGCGTCACGCTTCAGATGACCTTCCACCTCGGACTGACCATTCCCCACCCCTTAGTGACCTTCCACCTCGGACTGACCATTCCCCGGCCCCTTAGTGACCTTCCACCTCGGACTGACCATTCCCCGCCCCCTTAGTGACCTTCCACCTCGGACTGACCATTCCCCGCCCCCTTAGTGACCTTCCACCTCGGACTGACCATTCCCCGCCCCCTTAGTGACCTTCCACCTCGGACTGACCATTCCCCGCCCCCTTAGTGACCTTCCACCTCGGACTGACCATTCCCCGCCCCCTTAGTGACCTTCCACCTCGGACTGACCATTCCCCGCCCCCTTAGTGACCTTCCACCTCGGACTGACCATTCCCCGCCCCCTTAGTGACCTTCCACCTCGGACTGACCATTCCCCGCCCCCTTAGTGACCTTCCACCTCGGACTGACCATTCCCCGCCCCCTTAGTGACCTTCCACCTCGGACTGACCATTCCCCGCCCCCTTAGTGACCTTCCACCTCGGACTGACCATTCCCCGCCCCCTTAGTGACCTTCCACCTCGGACTGACCATTCCCCGCCCCCTTAGTGACCTTCCACCTCGGACTGACCATTCCCCGCCCCCTTAGTGACCTTCCACCTCGGACTGACCATTCCCCGCCCCCTTAGTGACCTTCCACCTCGGACTGACCATTCCCCGCCCCCTTAGTGACCTTCCACCTCGGACTGACCATTCCCCGCCCCCTTAGTGACCTTCCACCTCGGACTGACCATTCCCCGCCCCCTTAGTGACCTTCCACCTCGGACTGACCATTCCCCGCCCCCTTAGTGACCTTCCACCTCGGACTGACCATTCCCCGCCCCCTTAGTGACCTTCCACCTCGGACTGACCATTCCCCGCCCCCTTAGTGACCTTCCACCTCGGACTGACCATTCCCCGCCCCCTTAGTGACCTTCCACCTCGGACTGACCATTCCCCGCCCCCTTAGTGACCTTCCACCTCGGACTGACCATTCCCCGCCCCCTTAGTGACCTTCCACCTCGGACTGACCATTCCCCGCCCCCTTAGTGACCTTCCACCTCGGACTGACCATTCCCCGCCCCCTTAGTGACCTTCCACCTCGGACTGACCATTCCCCGCCCCCTTAGTGACCTTCCACCTCGGACTGACCATTCCCCGCCCCCTTAGTGACCTTCCACCTCGGACTGACCATTCCCCGCCCCCTTAGTGACCTTCCACCTCGGACTGACCATTCCCCGCCCCCTTAGTGACCTTCCACCTCGGACTGACCATTCCCCGCCCCCTTAGTGACCTTCCACCTCGGACTGACCATTCCCCGCCCCCTTAGTGACCTTCCACCTCGGACTGACCATTCCCCGCCCCCTTAGTGACCTTCCACCTCTGACTGACTAACCATTCCCCACCCCCTTAGTGACCTTCCATCCCCACCTGACTGACCTTCCATCACCACTTGACAATCCTTCCATTTTTACCTCATTACTGACCTATCATCCCCATCTGACTGACCTCCCATCCCACCTGACTAACCTTCCAACTCCACCCTCATAGTGACCTTCCATCCCCACCTGGCCAACATTCCAACTCCACCTGACTAACCTTCCAACTCCACCCTCATAGTGACCTTCCATCCCACCTGACCAACATTCCAACTCCACCTGACTAACCTTCCAAATCCACCCTCATAGTGACCTTCCATCCCACCTGACCAACATTCCAACTCGACCCTCATAGTGACCTTCCATCCCACCTGACCAACATTCCAACTCCACCTGACTAACCTTCCAACTCCACCCTCATAGTGACCTTCCATCCCACCTGACCAACATTCCAACTCCACCTGACTGACCTTCCAACTCCACCCCTTTACCCCTCCATCCCTGACATCTCCACCTGACTGACCTTCCATCCCCACCTGACTGACCTTCCCACTCCACCCATTTACCCCTCCATCCCTGACATCTCCGCCTGACCAACCTGAAAATCCTTCCATCTTCACCTCATTACTAACCTAACATCCCCAGCTGACCGATCTCCCAACCCAATCTGACTGACCTTCCATCTCCACCCCTTACTGACCTTCCATCTGCACCTGACCCAACCTTCTAACCCAACCTCCTGAGCTCCCATATCATCCCCGTGTGACCCCTGACCTCGCTCTGTAGGCTCTGCAGACACGGGGCGAGCTGTCCTTGGCTCAGGTTGAGCTCTCGGTTCTCCTCGCGCACATTCTGCAGTTGTAGGGTGAGAGATTGTTCCAGCTGAGAGGTCTGAGGAGGAGACACAAGGATTCATCAGTGCAGGGGGCGGGGGTACCATGAAGGAA